ATAAAGCGGTAAATTCTTTAATTAATATGTCAGAAGCGAAATGGCACATTAAAAGAGGAAATGACGGGTGCCATTATTTAAAATAAGACAACTCGATAGATGCGTGTCACGAATAAACACAGATCCCAACCAAACTCAATTTTGACACCTTCGGCAATTCGTCATAAGGGATTGCTGAAGAAGGGGCAATTGTGGAGGGTAAAACACTGACCCAAAGCCAAAGAGAATTGATATACGGCCTAAAGCCTTTTTAAGCTAGCCAGGGCAAGCTCCAAATTGGGGGCCAGGCCCAAATCCTTGGTAGGTCCATCTTAAAAGGAACAAAGTCACTTGATAGAAGGTTTGAACAAGATCATTTTCTGATAAGAGATCCGCAACACAAAGGAAAGCTCTTGGATCAATTGGTAATCGACAACGAAGATCAAAATTGATAGAAATGAGGATATGGGATCAACATATCCTGACGGTGTGATCATCTGATAAGAGAGATCCGACGATCAAAGATGAGAGCCCATGTCCGAACTAAATCTAGGACATCCAAAATAAAACAACTCTGACAATGGCAGATCAAGACAACTTGCCAACCTGCCCGACCAGTGTCTGGGGGCATAAAATACCATTGGATCAAGACAGTTATCCAACCGCCAAAATGCAAGGTATCCACACTATAAAAAGAAGAGCCAAGAATGACAAAAGAAGAAAGCAAAAATTTCATTAAGAAACAATTACAACAAAGTTTATTCTTTCAGATATATCATGTCCAAGCCATATTCTAACTTGATCGTCAGAGGATCCTCCCTACCAACTTTGGTCAGGAGAGATCACTGACATCTTGGTACTCTTTCTACAGAACACAGGAAGGAGCAGCTCATCTCGATTTCCCTGTGGAGAACAAATTTCATCATTCCACACTTATAATTTACCTAGATAATAATTAGACTTTGTATTTTATAATTTACCTAAAAATTTATAAATTTTGTATTTTCAAGCAATTGTGCATAAATAAAAACTTTATTTGAAAAATAAGTAAAATAATAACTATTTGAAGTTTTACATATTTTATACACATATATTTACGATGATTATATAAAATTTAAACTTCGCATTAAGTTTCGTGTAACCATATTTATGCTACTTTTGGGTAATGAATCTAGGGAAAGCAAAATAAAATTAACTAAACAAAATGGATATATTTTTTTGACAATTATCTAATTCATTTTTCCATTAACCCAAAAAATAAATAAATAAATAAAAATAAAAATAAAAATAAAAATAAAAATAAAAATAAAAATAAAAATAAAAATAAAAATAAAAATAAAAATAAAAATAAAAATAAAAATAAAAATAAAAATAAAAATAAAAATAAAAATAAAAATAAAAATAAAAATAAAAATAAAAATAAAAATAAAAATAAAAATAAAAATAAAAATAAAAATAAAAATAAAAATAAAAATAAAAATAAAAATAAAAATAAAAATAAAAATAAAAATAAAAATAAAAATAAAAATAAAAATAAAAATAAAAATAAAAATAAAAATAAAAATAAAAATAAAAATAAAAATAAAAATAAAAATAAAAATAAAAATAAAAATAAAAATAAAAATAAAAATAAAAATAAAAATAAAAATAAAAATAAAAATAAAAATAAAAATAAAAATAAAAATAAAAATAAAAATAAAAATAAAAATAAAAATAAAAATAAAAATAAAAATAAAAATAAAAATAAAAATAAAAATAAAAATAAAAATAAAAATAAAAATAAAAATAAAAATAAAAATAAAAATAAAAATAAAAATAAAAATAAAAATAAAAATAAAAATAAAAATAAAAATAAAAATAAAAATAAAAATAAAAATAAAAATAAAAATAAAAATAAAAATAAAAATAAAAATAAAAATAAAAATAAAAATAAAAATAAAAATAAAAATAAAAATAAAAATAAAAATAAAAATAAAAATAAAAATAAAAATAAAAATAAAAATAAAAATAAAAATAAAAATAAAAATAAAAATAAAAATAAAAATAAAAATAAAAATAAAAATAAAAATAAAAATAAAAATAAAAATAAAAATAAAAATAAAAATAAAAATAAAAATAAAAATAAAAATAAAAATAAAAATAAAAATAAAAATAAAAATAAAAATAAAAATAAAAATAAAAATAAAAATAAAAATAAAAATAAAAATAAAAATAAAAATAAAAATAAAAATAAAAATAAAAATAAAAATAAAAATAAAAATAAAAATAAAAATAAAAATAAAAATAAAAATAAAAATAAAAATAAAAATAAAAATAAAAATAAAAATAAAAATAAAAATAAAAATAAAAATAAAAATAAAAATAAAAATAAAAATAAAAATAAAAATAAAAATAAAAATAAAAATAAAAATAAAAATAAAAATAAAAATAAAAATAAAAATAAAAATAAAAATAAAAATAAAAATAAAAATAAAAATAAAAATAAAAATAAAAATAAAAATAAAAATAAAAATAAAAATAAAAATAAAAATAAAAATAAAAATAAAAATAAAAATAAAAATAAAAATAAAAATAAAAATAAAAATAAAAATAAAAATAAAAATAAAAATAAAAATAAAAATAAAAATAAAAATAAAAATAAAAATAAAAATAAAAATAAAAATAAAAATAAAAATAAAAATAAAAATAAAAATAAAAATAAAAATAAAAATAAAAATAAAAATAAAAATAAAAATAAAAATAAAAATAAAAATAAAAATAAAAATAAAAATAAAAATAAAAATAAAAATAAAAATAAAAATAAAAATAAAAATAAAAATAAAAATAAAAATAAAAATAAAAATAAAAATAAAAATAAAAATAAAAATAAAAATAAAAATAAAAATAAAAATAAAAATAAAAATAAAAATAAAAATAAAAATAAAAATAAAAATAAAAATAAAAATAAAAATAAAAATAAAAATAAAAATAAAAATAAAAATAAAAATAAAAATAAAAATAAAAATAAAAATAAAAATAAAAATAAAAATAAAAATAAAAATAAAAATAAAAATAAAAATAAAAATAAAAATAAAAATAAAAATAAAAATAAAAATAAAAATAAAAATAAAAATAAAAATAAAAATAAAAATAAAAATAAAAATAAAAATAAAAATAAAAATAAAAATAAAAATAAAAATAAAAATAAAAATAAAAATAAAAATAAAAATAAAAATAAAAATAAAAATAAAAATAAAAATAAAAATAAAAATAAAAATAAAAATAAAAATAAAAATAAAAATAAAAATAAAAATAAAAATAAAAATAAAAATAAAAATAAAAATAAAAATAAAAATAAAAATAAAAATAAAAATAAAAATAAAAATAAAAATAAAAATAAAAATAAAAATAAAAATAAAAATAAAAATAAAAATAAAAATAAAAATAAAAATAAAAATAAAAATAAAAATAAAAATAAAAATAAAAATAAAAATAAAAATAAAAATAAAAATAAAAATAAAAATAAAAATAAAAATAAAAATAAAAATAAAAATAAAAATAAAAATAAAAATAAAAATAAAAATAAAAATAAAAATAAAAATAAAAATAAAAATAAAAATAAAAATAAAAATAAAAATAAAAATAAAAATAAAAATAAAAATAAAAATAAAAATAAAAATAAAAATAAAAATAAAAATAAAAATAAAAATAAAAATAAAAATAAAAATAAAAATAAAAATAAAAATAAAAATAAAAATAAAAATAAAAATAAAAATAAAAATAAAAATAAAAATAAAAATAAAAATAAAAATAAAAATAAAAATAAAAATAAAAATAAAAATAAAAATAAAAATAAAAATAAAAATAAAAATAAAAATAAAAATAAAAATAAAAATAAAAATAAAAATAAAAATAAAAATAAAAATAAAAATAAAAATAAAAATAAAAATAAAAATAAAAATAAAAATAAAAATAAAAATAAAAATAAAAATAAAAATAAAAATAAAAATAAAAATAAAAATAAAAATAAAAATAAAAATAAAAATAAAAATAAAAATAAAAATAAAAATAAAAATAAAAATAAAAATAAAAATAAAAATAAAAATAAAAATAAAAATAAAAATAAAAATAAAAATAAAAATAAAAATAAAAATAAAAATAAAAATAAAAATAAAAATAAAAATAAAAATAAAAATAAAAATAAAAATACAACGGTCTGACACGACCACACAGTGTCTGCTACAACGGTCCGACATGACCCCGTAAACTGTCCCGACATTGATTCCGGTCAGCTTCTACAACGGTCCGGCATGATCCCATAAACTGTCCCGACATTGATTCCGGTCAGCTTTTACATCGGTCCAGCATGACCCTGTCAACTGTCACAACATTGGCTTCTACATCGGTCCGGCATGACCTCGTAAACTGTCCAGACATTATCTGCTACAACGGTCCGACACGACCATACAGTGTCTTCACCAACGGTTCGACACGACCATACAGTGTCTCCTATCCTATTTTATTTTCCTATTTTATTTTGTTACTCTCTCCAAACTCAAGTTGGTTAATTTTATCCTCCTTGAGTTTGAGGGGGGCTGTTAGTGTATATTAGTGCTTGTAATGATGTTAGTAGGTTAGTACTTGTCTTTATTATTCATTACTTTAAGTTAGTGTTCGGCTACTTTCGGCTACTTTCCTATTCAGGTTTGTAATCCTCTCCTATATAAGGAGCTTCTAACATTGTTAAAGATACAACACATCAATCAATAATACAATCAATATAGTACTTGTCTTTATTATTCATTACTTTAAGTTAGTGTTCGGCTACTTTCGGCTACTTTCCTATTCAGGTTTGTAATCCTCTCCTATATAAGGAGCTTCTAGCATTGTTAAAGATACAACACATCAATAAATAATACAATCAATATCTATACAATTCTCTATTTCTCTTTATACATTAAATTCTAACAAATCATATGGTGCGGGTAGAATTAAAGGTTACTTGGTTCCCACGACTCTACTTGTATTTCCTTGAGTTTCATCTAGCACAAAAATCTTGCCAAGTCAAAATCTGAAATTTTGGGCTTCATCTCTGCATCTAACAGAACATTGTTTTTTTTGGGTGGATTAAACAGAACATTGTTGGTTTGGAGATCACGATGAATAATTCGGAGGCGTGAATCTTCATGAAGATATAAAAGTCCCCGAGCTAGACCTCCTATGATCTTGTAACGTCCATCCCAATCCAAATGTGCATGATTGATGGAATCTGCAGGTTTATCCATGTCTCTGGTTGAATCAATATCAAAATAGAATAAATCTTCCCAAATTGTCCCTGAAAGGATTCTAATTTTACATTTTATTGTATGATAAAATTGATAGTGCATTAAGATATATAGTCTATATTGTTCTCTCTTTGACAAAAAGCTACGGAGTGTGCATAATTCAAGTATGCTTTTTAGATGAAGTTGATAGCAGCAGAGTCTATAAGCAACATAGTAGTCATACCAAATATGAACTGATTGAGGCTCAAGTTTGTTACGAACTCATAGCTGAGAATTTTTTCTATTCTTTCTAGGCCAAATCCCAAGAGCTTAACCAAATTCCTATGTTGAAGCTTGGCCAGCAGCATAACCTCATTTTTAAACTCTAGTTCTCCTTGTGAAGAATTCTTATACAACCTCTTCACAGCTATTTCTTTTCCATTTGGAAACCTACCCTGAAGATGTAACCAAACTGTCAAAAAACAATAATTCAACAAATAATAATAATAATTATTATTATTATTTAAACATTAGGGATATATTCCTATCATAAGTTGTTCAATTACCTTATAAACAGCACCAAATCCACCTTGTCCAAGCTTATTAGCATCGGAGAAGTTATTGGTTGCAATTCTAATGCTATTGAAGTCATATTGCAAGGATTCCATAGCACTAATTTCTTCCACAACTTCACAAATTGAACAAGTTAGCAAGTATGTCAATAAAAGTTTACAATGAAAATATATAGGATCTTTCAATAATGTTGGTGACTTTCTCATGTCATGTGTTATATCGGTAAGTTACATAATTGAAGAATTTAAATGACATAAGGTTGAGTAGGCTTGTATGTAGAGTCTAACCAATTCCTACAAAAAGAGCAGCATATAATTCTTCACAGCTTATTATTATTGCTTATAGAATTGTTATCAACAGGTTAAAGAGAAATTTTTATTATCCTTCCCATGATTTATTTTTGAAAGCAACAGACAGATAAATAATAGTTGAAAGAGTAAATTAGACTGACCATCCCAAACTACTGAAAAAATCAAAAAAATTATTCTCATTAAACAACGTTATGAATTTTAGAATATTCCATGTAGTTGTAAGTAAATACAAATATGCAGTTGTCTAGATCTATGAATTACAAAATGAAATGACCACCGCCTATTAGGGGTGGTCATAGGTCAGTTTGGTTCCGTTTGACATTAAATTTAGAACCAATTTAATCCAGATCTGATCAGTTTCAAGTTTTTAGACCCAGAACCAAACCAATTATGCATTAGAACCAACCCAACTCAACCCATTGTAGCTTGGGTTGGTTTGGGTTGAAACTACGATTCTACTATATTAAAAATAAGTGAATCAATCAATAATAGATAATTATAATAAACAAATTTTTAACATTTAAATATAACACAAACAAATAACAAAATATTATTTAATGAAAGACAATACAAATTAAATTCAACTCAAACTTAAACATAACCAATACAAATTAAATCTATTAATACAATCAATACAAATTAAATCAACTACAAAATCCTGATAATGTATCTGCAGAAGAAGCTTACAGCTCATGTGAGCTTCCCAATGGCAGAGCTACAGCTGCAGATCACAACTCATGTGAGCTGCCTAATGGTAGAGCTACAGAAGCTGCAGTTAAAGCCATAGCTACATACAGTTGAAGCCACAGTTATTTCTCACCAAATCTGTTATAGCTGCTGTTGGTTAAAGTGCACGTGTTTACATATAGTGGTTGGTTAGTTAGGAAGTTGTTATGTTAACCTTACCTTAGTTAGTTAGTTAACTAGTTGATAGAGTTACTGATTGTTATCTATAAATACCTCTGTACTGAAAGATATTTTGATCAAGTTGAATAAGATTCATTTTCTCTTTACGATATTAGAGCCAATATAGCTCTTGCGAGCATCAAAGCTTCGTCTTCAAGATCACAATGGTGAATCCTCACCAAGGATCAACAATGGAAGATCTTCAAGCAAGAACAACAACAATGACAGCTTCTTCATCTGGTATAACTACCAGTTCTTCTTTACCTTCAAATCTCACTTTGCTCATCTCCAATCTGAATTCGTTTGTTCCAACAAAACTTGAGTCTACAAATTATTTGATATGGAAAAGTCAATTCCAAAACATATTACGAGCTACAAATCTACTTGGATTTGTTGATGGATCAGAGATTTGTCCTCCTTCCACAGTTCTTGATGAGAGTCATAATGCTGTAGTGAATCAAGCATACATAGAATGGATCAATGTTGATGCACATTTACTTAGTTGTCTTATTGCTACACTATCTTCGTCCATATTCACATCTGTTCTTCATTGTATCACTAGTCATGAAGTATGGACTACATTAGCTACAAGATTCACCTCCTTGTCCAGATCACATGTACATCAATTGAAATCTAAGCTTAGTCATCTTACCAAGAAGAATTCAACAATAGAGGACTATCTCTGTCAAATCAAGACTATTGCTGATCAATTAAGTCTTGCTGGCTCACCAATTCATGATGAAGATCTGGTTTTACTTACTTTAAATGGACTACCTGATGAGTACAATGCTTTTAAAACATCCATTCGTACCAGATCTGAACCTATCTCTATTGCTACCTTATCTTCCTTATTGTGTTCTGAATCCATTCACATTGAAGGCTTTCTTAAACAAGCTCACACATCAGATCTTCCATTTGCTTATGCTGCTACCAGAACTCATTCTAGAGGCAGTTCTAGAGGTTACATCAGAGGAGGATATAAAGGTAACAATTCAGGAAATTCAAGTAGATTTAATAAAAACACTTATAGAGGTGGAGGACAAGGCAGGTCTACTTCATCATCATCATTTTTGCATCCTTCTTCAGACCAACATGGACTGATTTGTCAAATTTGTGGTAAATCAAACCACTCAGCTATGGATCGCTGGCATAGAATGGATCAAGCTTTTCACTCATCTTCTTCACAAGGAAGAGGATCACAGTCTAAAGCCTATGTTGCCTCTTCTTCAACTACTTCTGCTGCTCCAGAACATCAGTCTGCCTCTGCTGCATCTGTCCCTGGTTCAAATTGGTTCTTAGATTCTGGAGCCACAAATCATTTCACCAATGATCTTAATAATTTCACTCATTTTCAGCCTTATCAAGGTTCTGACCATGTCACTATAGGAGATGGTTCTACTCTGCCAATTCATCACACTGGAAATGGTTTGCTTCTGACACCAAGTACTTCTTTTTGTCTTCATAATTTGGTTCATGTTCCTTCAATTTCTACCAATCTTTTGTCAGTTCATCAATTTATAAAAGACAACAACTGCACCATTACTTTTGATGCTGATTGTTTCATTATACAGGACAAGTTTTCCAAGCAAATTCTTCATAAAGGTCCTCACTTAGTTGATTTTTATTCTCTTTCAGCTTCATCTGTTGTTCCTGGAACTTCTTCCACAACTTGCTTCAAATCTTCCACTACTTCTCCCTGCAGCAAGATCACTTGGCATAATAGATCAGGTCATCCTTCTAGTAATAAGTTGCAATTGCTTGTATGTCAAAATTTGTTACCTACTAATGTACCAAGTTCTAATGACAATAAGCAGTGCACACATTGCTATGTTTCTAAGAGTCATAGGTTGCCATTTCATCTTTCTAATTCCACTGTAAATCAGCCATTTGCTCTTATTCATTCTGATATTTGGGGACCCTTTAATACATCTGTTTCACATTTTAAGTACTATGTTCTTTTCATTGATGATTACAGTAAATTTACTTGGCAGTTTCCTCTTACCTACAAAAGTGAAGTATCCTCTAAGTTTGTTGAGTTCAAGGCCTTTGTTGAGACTCAATTTTCCACTAAACTTCAAGTACTTAGAAGTGATAATGGGAGGGGGGGAATATTTAGCAAATAAATTTCAGTAATTTTTAAAGGATAAGGGCATTGAGCATCAACTTAGTTGTCCTCATACTCCAGCTTAGAATGGAGTAGCTGAGAGGAAGCATAGGCACTTAATTGAAACTACTATTGCCCTAATGCATCAGTCTGCTCTTCCTTTGTGCTATTGGTTTGATGCTCTTGCCACCTCAGTCTTTCTTATTAACAGACTTCCCACTTTCAAACTCAATAATGTTACTCCTTTTCAAACTTTGTTTCATCACTCACCTGATTATTCTTTCCTCAAAGTTTTTGGTTGTAGGTGTTTTCCTTGGATTAGACCTTACACAAGTCACAAACTTCAGCCTAGATCTATACCTTGTGTCTTCATTGGTTATGTTCCTTCTACCAAAGGGTACAGATGTCTTGATGTTACTACTGGCCATATTTTTGTTTCTAGGCATGTTATTTTTGATGAGTCTAATTTCCATTTCAGTCCCAATCTATGTCTTCTGCTCAGTCTGTCCCTCATTCTCTTTCTCAGCTTCAAACTTTCTTTTGGCCTGCAACTGGTTCAGTTGCTTCATGTTCTGTTAATCCTTCTACAGTTTCTTCTATCCCTACTGTAAGTCCTGTTTCCTCTGCTCCAGTTCTATCTGGTTCTCATTTGTCAACCACTTCTAGTCCTGAACAAGTTGAAGTTGCTGGTTCTATTCCAACAATACCCATTTCTTCAATCTCTATTGATTTACCTTTTTCTTCTTCTACTTCAAATACTCATCCCATGCTAACTAGGTGTAAGTCTAAACCTCTCTCTGCTAGCTGCCTTCTCACTTCTTCTTCTACTCCTACTGAACTTGATACTTTTCAAGCTGATGCTGCATCTCCTAAATGGCAAGCAATTATGCTAGATGAATTTCAATCTTTGCAAAGACAAGGGACTTGGTCTCTTGTGCCTTTACCTCAAGACAAACTGGCTATTGGCTGCAAATGGGTGTATAGACTCAAGAGAAATGCAGATGGTTCTATTGCTAGGTATAAGGCTGGGTTAGTAGCCAAAGGTTTTCTTCAAACCGAGGGCATTGATTATCATGAGACCTTCAGTCTTGTTGCAAAGCAGCCTATAGTTCGAGTTCTTCTGTCATTAGCTCTTCATTTTCAATGGCCTATTAGGTAGCTTGATATATCCAATGCATTCTTGCATGGTGTCTTAGAAGAGGAAGTCTATATGCAACAACCTCAAGGCTTCATTGATGCTTCTCATCCTACCTTGGTCTACAAATTGCATAAAGCCCCTCATGGTCTCAAACAGGCTCCCCGGGCATGGTTTTCTAGCTTTTCTTCCTTTTTACTGTCTTGTGGTTTTATTTCTAGTCATTGCAACTCATCCTTGTTTGTCAAGAAGACTGCAGCTTCTATTACTATTCTTCTCATCTATGTTGATGATATCTTGTTAACTGCTAGTGATACTTCTTATATAACTACTTTGATTCATCAAATGCATGGTGCCTTTGCTATGAAGGAGCTTGGCTTGCTTAATTATTTTCTTAGCATTTCTGTGTCATCTTCTTCTATGGGCTATTTCTTATCTCAGCACAAGTATGTTTCTGAGTTGCTTGTCAAAGCTGGTATGGCTGAATGCAAACCATACTCTTCCCCCATGTCTTTTAAATCTACTTCATCTTCTCCCAATGATAATTTGGCTTGTTCCAATCCCTCTCTCTACAGAAGTATTGTTGGAGGTCTTCAATACCTCACCATCACCAGACCAGATCTTGCTTTTGCTGTAAATTTTGCCTGTCAGTTTATGCACCAACCACTTGTTCGACATTTTGCTATGGTCAAAAGGCTTCTCAGATATCTCAAAGGCACCCTTGGCTATGGTCTTCAGTTTAGTCCTGGTCCTCTTACACTACATGCTTTTTCAGACTCTGATTGGGCTGGTAATTCTCTGGATAGAAGGTCCACTACTGGTTTCTGTGTTTTTCTTGGTCCAAATCTGGTGTCATGGTCTACTAAAAAGCAGCCTACTGTGGCTAGATCCTCCACTGAGGCTGAGTATAGGGCATTAGCTCACACTGCTGCTGAGTTAAGCTGGCTTGGAATGCTTCTATCTAATCTACATTATTTTTCTTCTTCTCCTACATTGTGGTGTGATAATATTTCTGCCATCTCTCTGTCTTCTAATCTTGTTTTTCATGCCAGAACTAAACATATCGAAGTCGATTATCATTATGTCCGAGAAAGGGTAGCTGCTAAACAGCTCACCATTTGTCATATCCCAACTTCTGATCAGGTGGCAGATATTTTCACCAACCCTCTGTCTATTTCATGCTTTAAATACCTTTAATCCAAGCTTATGGTTCTTCCCTCTTCCATTCACTTGAGGGGGCATGATAATGTATCTGCAGAAGAAGCTTACAGCTCATGTGAGCTTCCCAATGGTAGAGCTACAGTTACAGATCACAGCTCATGTGAGCTGCCCAATGGCAGACCTATAGAAGCTGTCACGCCCTCAAAATAAACCCATAATAACCATAACATTATCATGCATTTATAAAAGAAAACAAATCATTTGAGTTATTCATCAGAGTATTCTTATTAAAAAAAAACATTACATGTAACATCCTGCAACATCAAAATAAATGCCCTAAGGGCTTACAACTTTCCAAGCTAACACTTGGACACAAAAAGGATGAGTACTAACTCATTTACAAGTTAAGCCCTAGGCTTGAATGTTTACATGAAATCTCAAAATAGCAAAATAAACATATAACTAAAGACATGTCTTCAAAATCCCAAACATCAAATCCTCCCAGGCTAAGTCCGTGGAGGTAGCTTATCACCTGAACCTGAAAATGATGTTCCCATAAAGGGTGAGCCACAGCCCAATAGAAAAATACTAAACCAAATATAAGCATTGAATAAAGCTATAGCATTCAATAGATGGTTAACCAAGATAATCAATTTTATCATTAAACAGTCTCATGACACTAATGTCTAAGACACATTTCACTTTCCATTATTATCAACATGGCTCAGAACCTGGCCAATTTTAAATAATGAGACAGTAACTCATATTAAACTTCTTCCCAAATCATATTAGATAAGCGTATTAGCTATATAAATGGATGTATTGGAAATGGTTACGAGAGTGAGTATGAGATTGTGTTGTAGTAAAATTGTTGATTTTGACATTTAGGTTAGATTTTTAAAGAAAATGTACAAATATCTGTTCTGGTCTATTGGCGGAGGATAGCTATGATTATTGTAGAAATTGCATAAGAATTAGGTGAATTGAAACTAATTTTCTCATCCATTTATATTGAGCCTTGTCACATCTTAAATACATTACACATGTGTGATGTTTGGGAGAAGAAATGAGATGTACTCCGTATTTAGGAGGAGAAAGAGGATGTACTCCATTGAATTAAGTTGGCCGAAGTGTCAAGGGTGAAAGTCCCAAAAAGTATGAGTATACATGAGTGCCGATTCCCGCGGACGAAATATCCTTAAAATGGAAAATGGAAGTGTTTTGTATGATGGATGTATTGATTAAAGACTCATTGAGTTATATCCTCAGCTTGGTTGTTTGAATAGAATGGAAAGGACTCATGAATTGAGATAACATGGATTGAATATGAGTTCGATATAACATGATTTTGTAAAAGAGTTATAAATGATTTTTGTTAAGATCCATATATTGTGTTAGATTATCTTTACTGGGCTTTGGCTCACCCTATGTAAGAAAAACATTTTAGGTGTTGATGATATACCTCTGCCAAGGCACTAGTTTGGGATGATCTGGAGCAAGAGTTTCCTTTGTTGTGATTGTTATGTATAGCCAAGGGCTTAAATGTATTAGATTTAAAGTCCGCTTTTGATTGTTCAGATTAAACGGAAGCCCTCGCCGTCCTCTATCTTTTTAACAAAGGACTTAGGGTAGAAATACACTCTAAGTAGATCAAACCTAAGAGAGAAGGTGTGTAGGGAGAGGGAGAAGACGGTTCTAGGGTTTTAAGATCAAAAAGGAGATGAAAAATGATCCAGAAAGTCGGATCTCGGATTTTTATACCAGTCGTCCCGCTCGAGCGTGGAAACCCCCACTGGAGCGCCACTCACAGACTCCCGCTCGAGCGGCCAAACTCCCGCTCGAGCGGCGAATGCACACTCCCAGAAGTTTTTGCAGACAGGTCCCCGCTCGAGCGCCCGACTCCCCGCTCGAGCGTCACTCACGACTTCCCGCTCGAGCGTCCAATCCCCCGCTCGAGCGGCCAACACTACACAGGAGATACTGGATGGGTGTATTCCTCGCTCGAGCGTCCAAACCTCCGCTCGAGCGGATAAGCCAAAATCTGGGCAACTAGACTTGGTTCCTAAGCTCAACCAACCTGCTCTAAATCTTCCCAACACAACTCAAGACTCAAAATAAGAAAATAATGAATGACAACAACAATTATACAAATGACGGAATCTACGGAACCTAAGTCCGGATACAATAATCAAATGGGAAAAGACCGGGGTCGCTATAGAAGCTGCAGTTAAAGCCATAGCTATATACAGTTGAAGCCACAGTTATTTCTCACCAAATTTGTTACAGCTGCTGTTGGTTAAAGTGCATGTGTATACATATAGTGGTTGGTTAGTTAGGAAGCTGTTATGTTAACCTTACCTTAGTTAGTTAGTTAACTAGTTGATAGAGTTACTAATGGTTGTCTATAAATACCTCTGTACTGAAAGATATTTTGATCAAGTTGAATAAGATTCATTTTCTCTTTAAATCCAACTCAAGGTTTTGCAGTTTCTAGTATTTCTTTTGATCACCTAATAATTCTTATACGTAGAAAATTACTAGGTGTAATCAATTGTAACAAGCTAATTAGGTGCATAAATGTTAATATAAATAAAATTTTAACATATATATATATATAAGTAGGTTCGGTTCTCAGGTTTGTTTGGTTTAGGTAAGGCTTAAATCAAGAACAAATCCAATCCTATCAGTTTGATGATTTGAAAACTTAGAACCAAACCAATGTGACCAACCTAATTCAAAGAGGTCGATTTGATTTGATTATTTAGTTCACTAGGTAATTTGAACATCCCTACCACCTATCAATTGTTTCTCTTTTGAGAAACTCAACAGGTAACATATGAAGCCTTTTCACTCTCCATCTATCTCAAACGTCGCAATGCAACGATTCAAACGTATGAAAGGATCATATTGCAAATGACGAAACAAATTCAAATAGAGAGACTTGAATCATAATATCCTACAATATCAGCTTTAATACCATATCACATCACTAATTGTCACAAAATGATTAAATTATTATTGCAAATACACCGTCAAGTGGTGTTTCAAGAATGTTGTGATTGGTGGAATATGTGTGGCTCACGATTTTGTGTTGGGTGATTGCGGAACATGAGGGACATGGTGGTTCATGATTGGTAATGAGCACCGCCATGTGGTGCCTAAAACCAACCAATAATTTTTTATTGAGAGGTTACAATTATGAAATATAATTAAAATATATTACCATAATGGTTAAATAATTAATAATTATAATTGAAGTGACGATCCAATAATTGAGGGATTTATTAAGAAATCATCTTTCAAGTACTTGTATCCCAATAAGTTCATAACTATTTTAATAAGTCCTATTATTTAGACATTTGATCTATCAATTCCTAATTCTTATATTTAAGGTATTTTACGGATAATTTTATCCTTACAAATATTTTTGGAACCCGTAGCAATTTGGTGATATGAACATTCATATTTGACATTATGAATACTCACATTGATGTGCGAATGTTTACATCATGGAACATTCATACTGTCAATGTGAGTATTATTATCAGGGGTATATTTGGACTAAGTAAAACATAAGTAGGTGAAAATGATTTATGAATAAATGTCCCTCCAATAATTACGCACAATACATGTATTTTAACATTTTGTTAATTTCAAAAACTAAAAATAATAAAATTGTTTAGGATTATTATTTTTTGAGTGGTCCTACATAGAATTTGTAAAACTAATCAAGTTACTCGTGTTCGACTCAGTCAAATTCATTTGAGATTGGCTCAATATTTAAACAAGTCAAGTTTGAATACAATGTTAAATTCGTTAAATTTTCAAACCAAACTTAAAAAATTCACTACCTCATTCGATAAGCTTAAATACACTTCAAAAAATTAAGTTATTTGAGCTCAAAACATTTTTCTTTTTTGGCTCTGACAAGGTCTCTAATGAGAACCAACCCTTTCTTTTTTAAGAAAAACATTTTGGTTTGGTATAAAAAGCAAAATGCATTACAAACAAACACTAGAGAGTTCTTGTGCAGCCCTCATTCTGTCGTGGCTCTCTTGGTATTTGATTATTGTAGGACTCGTTTGCAATACAAAGAAACACAAAGAAAATTGGTAGGACTACTTGTCTTACTCTTCACAAAGTTTACTATATGCAACAAAAATGAGGAGGCCCTCTACTTGATGCATTTCATCAAACATAACGAAGACAAGTGAAATTAGAAATGACAAAAAATCAATACAAAGAACAAGTCTTATTTTCTTTTGAGTAAGAAACTAGCCCAAACAATACCTCTAGACCATATTTGGTAGAACTGGCTCAATTAGATAGAATTAGCATGCTTCGGACGGTTAGTTCTAAGATTATCAACCCCTTTGGATCGTGTATCATATTTTATGTTTGAATTGGTTTAGGATTATAGTAGGGCTATGCAAAATATCACTCACTCCGCTAAAATCGCACCGATTCGCATCAATCAGCATCGTTCTATCCACTATCCGTGATTTAAACTTTAAAATTTATAATTTGCTTTTGAAACCATTTCACTCTGCTATAGTTAATACATATATATTTTTTAACTTATAATGAAAGATCAAAGTAAAAATAAGTGTGAGAGTGATTTAATATATGAAATTTATTACAAATTAGTAGTTATATATATATGAAAAATATTATGTAAAATTAGTTTGTGTTATATATATGAAAAATATTATGCAAATTAGTGTTATATATTATGTAAAAACTTAATAATTCGTTAGAATATTCTTGAATCTGCTAATCCACCCAAAACTGCCGCAATTTGCCAATCCACCAATTCGCTAATCTGCCATTCAGTTTATAATTTTATTCTCAAACTGTCCAAATCGTACCGTGCACACTCCTAATTATGAGAATAGATTAACAAAATTCTATCAATTTTACAGCTTAATTAATTGGAAAAATATGACTATTGCAAAATATGGGCATTGCAAAAATTACTATTCAAAAGAAATATAAACATTTATTTTATCAAAAAAAAAAAAAAAACAACAACAAAA